CGTTTCTTCATCTTTTGTTCTTATAGTCAATTTTTATTTAAGATTTTTTTTTTTTTTCTTTATATATATATATTGTCTCCTTTATGAGTGTTTTGGAATTTTGAGTCCAGCTCTGGAGACTCCCCCCACCCACCCCTCTCGGAAGAAGCTGGCGTTGCGGTGATTTTGGAACGGACAAAGGAGGGAGCTGGAAAGAGAGGGAGAAAGGAAAAATAATAGCAATAACCCCAGAGAAGAAGACGAGCCGAGATTTGGAAGACGTCGCCTCTTCCCCCCCTCCCCACATAACCCCTTTGCCCCCCCCCCCCCCCCCCCCCAGATCCAAAATGTTTTTCACAAGGAGGCGATTCACTCTTTCTCCATGCTGTAATGGTACTTGTGCATTGTGTGGCTCATGTGTACGATGGTCAACGTGGATTTGTTTTGATATATAAACAATTCATATATATATATTCATACCAACCCCCCCTCCCCTGCCCCGTCAGTCCTCCTCCGTATATATATATATATATATATATATATATATATATATATATATATATATATATATATATATATATATACCCTCCACTGTTTTCTCCCCACTAGACCCCCCCCCCACCCCCCTCTCCACTCAATGCCGAGACTTACAGATCTGACCGGAGATTCTGACACCATTGCTGTTGGCTGTGCACTTTTTGTAACTTCCCCTTCAGTCCCCCCACACTCACCCCCCCCCCCCTTATGCCATTAACTGGAAGGCCGTGTTTGGAAATTAAGCAACCCCCCCCCCCCCCCACCTGTGATATCTCTCTCTCTTTTTTTTGTTTTTGTTTTTTTTGTTTTTTTTTGTGATTGCTGTTTCATCACTTAAACAGTTTTATAGATTATGATGACAGTTTACCTTTTGAAGGATGATTTGCATATGAAAAAAAAAAATCTCTGCATTTATTGTTATTATTATTATTTATTTTTATTCGTTCTCTATTCTCTCTCCTTCATAGAGTGTATCAGTGTGTAAGTGCATGAATGTTTGTCTGCTTGAGGAGTCTGACTGACTGACTGACTGACTTACTGAGAGTGAGTGAGTGACTGAGAGCAAGAGAAAGAGACTGAGAGATGAGATTGGTAAGTGGAATGGAGTGAGTGAGTGAGAGTGCATGAGTGAGTGAGTGAGTGTTAGAGAGTGAGTGTTAATGAGTGACTGACTGACTGGAGTGCTTGAGTGACTGGGAGTGAGAGAGGGGTGAGTGAATAAGGTAGTTAGTTTGTTAGTTGGAGAGAGAGAAAGAGGGAGAGAGAGAGAGAGAGAGAGAGAGAGAGAGAGAGAGAGAGAGAGAGAGAGAGAGAGAGAGAGAGAGAGAGAGAGAGAGAGAGAGAGAGAGAAAGAGGGAGAGAGAGAGAGAAAGAAAGAGGGAGAGAGAGAGAGAAAGAGGGAGAGAGAGAGAGAGAGAGAAAGAGAAAGAGGGAGAGAGAGAAAGAGAGGGAGAGAGAGAAAGAGAAAGAAAGAAAAAAAAAAGAGAGAGAGAGAGAGAGAGAGAGAGAGAGAGAGAGAGAGAGAGAGAGAGAGAGAGAGAGAGAGAGAGAGAGAGAGAGAGAGAGAGAGAGAAAAAGAGAGAGAAAGAGAAAAAAAGAAAGAAAGAAAGTAAAAGAGAGGAAAATAGATGTGTGGTTATGTCAATGCTTTGCATATATTTTTTAAAAACTACTCTTTGCCCATTCTCCATCACAGTTATATAAAAACCATTGAATTTACACTTACTAATCATTGAGAATGCATACTTGTTGCTCAGTCACTTTTCTTGCAATTGCATGCCTCTTGACTAAAGTAAATATATATATTTTTTCACTGTGTACTTCATAAACTGGTCCTGACCGGATGAATTACTTTTATCTGTGGATTTCTGCAGAAGACCAAGTATTGGTAAGACTGCAAATTATATGGCAGTGTTTGTATGGTACTTTGCTTTTTCTAAAGAATTTGTTTTATTTGTTGTATTTTATGTTGGTTTGGTTTTATTTATAGAATTGGCTGCAGTTATTCACAAGTCATAAAGACATGAATACCTTTTTTTAAATTATTTTTTTATGCGTGTAGTGTTCACATGTATGTGTATATATTTATATATATATATATTTTTTTTTCTCCAGTAAGTCTGGCTGTTTAAAATACCCCAGTTCTTTGAGCATCACGAGAGCCTAATCCAGGGCCCTGTCTGTCATGTCCTGTTGTTTTAATACCTTTATTTTTTTCTTTCCCCTCCCTTTTCTTAGGTTTGATGTGCATGTAGTGTTGAGTAAAGCCAGGAGTGCATGGTAAAAAGTTTTTCTTTGTCGTTGGACTTAGTGCATGAACCCTCTAGTGAGCGATGAAGCCCTCTGTCTAAGCGGGACAGCTTAATTTGAAATTTGAGAAAGAGAAAAATCAAAGAGAGGAAGTAAGGATAACAGAGAGAAAGAGATCAAAAAATAAAAAGTAAGCCAAAAAAAGTAAAACCTAAAAGAACTCTGAAAGACTTTGCACAAATACAGATACACACAGTGTTTACAGCATCACGAGTCACTTGTGCGGACGAGGTGTCTCGATGCTTAAACGGCGTGCAGGATAAGGGAATTCACTAAAAAGCCCAAGGAATCCCCACCAGAGCAAGATCAGTACTTCGGCACCATGCCCGAGCAAAACTACCCCAGCATGCCACCGGGCACCGATAACGGCAGTGGCCTGGTGCTTCGATGGGACATTAAGAACCTTGAGATCAAGACCCGGTCAGTCGAAAAGACCTTAGAGCCCCTAGTCATACAGGTAATGAGTTTTACAGCTTGGGGGGGGATTCACCACCACTACAGTGTGTTGTGTTGTGCCGAGTCTGTGGGGTTTCTCTCCGTCCCCGTATATTGTCTCAGGGGACGGCTTTTTCTCTCTCTGCGCTGGCTCACTTGTTCTTCCTTGCCGGTGGGTGTGCTGTGGAGAACCCTGTGTTTGATTTTTTTTTTTTTTTTTTTTTTTTTTTTTTTTTTTTCTTCCCCCCCCATCTTGCCCTTAAATGTATAAAGTTGTATTGCTGAATTTTTCATATTTACTTTTGTTTAATACACTTTCGACACAAGTCATGTAATTGTTGTTCTTATGAACGAGGTATAATTTTGAGATAACCATTGGATTGTAGGAATATTTTAAAGTCTGTTAATGTTCATGTTCTCTTTGACATAGATAGTTAGTTCTCGTTTGTATGTTTGTCTAATGAAAATGTTTAGAAGATGTATGTAGACTCAACGAAAAGGATTAGTCTGTATACAAAAATTGCTTTGTACTTTACAGAAAATGACCACAACTTTGATTATATAATGCTTTATTATTGTTTTAGTCTAAAGTGACATTATACAGGATGAAGCAGATAATCAGTTCATGTGATAAAAAAAAAAATAGTCTAGCTAGTTTATGAATAAAAGAAAAGCAATTTCTTTTTAAGTGGATAGGAGAGAAGTGGGCTTTTGAAGGTAGTGCTAGAGTGGACAGATGATATTTTTTCTCTCCAATTTTTTTATACAAGTTTTTGTTTGACTATACCCTGCTTCATATTGAGCTGTAGTTGGTTTGTAGAAAGTATATATGTAGATTGTTTTCCTTTGTTTTTGTATGTCCTTTAACCTTCTTTTAAAAATTCATATTTTTTCTTTGGTTTTCTCCAGCATATTGTGATATTGTCCAATTTTTAAAACATTTAATTTACACTTGGGCTTATGTTTGAAAATTTGTTACCAATTTGTTGTGTATTTCCTCCAGTTAAAGTCCCCGGTTCTTCTCAGTTTCCTTTTTTCTTTTGTTTTTATTGACTTATTATTGGCCCCCAGATTTAGCTTTGAACCTAGCCATTAATTTCACCCCCCAACCCTCACCCCACCCCAACACTCCACCCATGACCCCCGGAACTGACTTCCCCCTGTCACACCTGTCCGTCCGCGCCATTAGGTCACGACCCTCGTCAACACCAAAGGCCCCTCCAAGAAGAAGAAAGGGCGGAGCAAGCGTGCCCACGTGCTGGTGGCGGCAGTGGAGGCAGCCACACGGAACTTCATTGAGCGCGGGGAAGAGATCGCCTACGAAAACCCCGACATTAAGGGCGAGATGCTGGGGGCTGTCGAGGAGGTTCGCAAGACAGGTAGGCGTTGAAGGTGCAGGCTGCATGGTGCGAGCATGGCCCGGGTCTCTAGGCCTTTGTGGGCAGTTCTCTAGCGTTTGGTATTTATTAGTTATTTGCGTTTTTTTTCTTTTTTTTTTCTCATGTAGGCTGTTGGTTTGTTGTTGTGATTTTTTTTTATTTTTTATGTAATTTAATCTGTTAATTGATTTGTTTGGTGAAGTTCCTTTTACAAGTGTATTACATTTTATTGATTTGATTGAAAAAAAGAAAAAGAATTTTGTTATTATTTTGTTAGGTGTTGTGATATTATTTTTCTTTCTTAGCTGTTTTTGTTTCCCTTTAACTTTCAGCTCATTCTTTTGTATTAACATTTCATTGATACTTGCTTTTTTTTTTTTCTTTCGCTCTTGTAGTCCATTAACTGAAGACATTTGAACTGCCCTTTAAAAATTTTGACTATTCTCTTTAAACATAATATAAAGACCATTATGTTTGATGGAAATGAATACTCCAATAAAGTGAGGTCGTAACCATATAAAAGACCTTTCATTTAGTGCTTCTCAGTATTTTGTATCTTTTATATGACATCCCTTTGTGTATAGAGAAAGTGTTTTAGGTAAAAAGACACATTTTTTGACACATTGGCCTGGGTTTTATTGATTTTAGTTTTTTTTATAAGTGCAGGATCTTTGAAATTGGTACGAGACCCAAATGTAATTCTAGTATTTTCCTCTCACTCTCTCTTTGTTTTTTTTTTTTGTTTTGTTTTTTTACTTGTTGCTTGATCTTATTCATGGTAAATACAGTGGGATGATAATGGCTTCATTTAAATATTGATTCTCCCTTTCTGGTTCATCTTTCCTGTGTATGTCAGATTGT